TTTTTCTGATGGAAGCACCTAACAAAGAATTAGTAGTAAAGGCTCAGGAAAACATTTGATCCAGCAGCACAAGTAGAGCCATGGCAAACCCAGGATCAAACCCGGACTGTACTACCAAAAGAAACACCTCCACCCCGAAAGAAATGCCTCCAATCATTGCATCTTTTCGCTTTACCTCCGCCACCACCCTCTTTGCTTCATCTACCACTTTGCATGATCTCTGTGCATATGATCCTTCTATAACATATTTAGCACATTTTTTATTGCTCGAGGACCCTTTATATACGTAGGCTAGCACATTAGAATTGCCACGGAAAATGTTAATGCCTTTCTTTACACACCAAACCGGTTTCTTTGATGATCTTGTTGATTCTGATGCAGCATCCTGATCACCCTCTCCCATTTCAGCTTCATAAACATTCCAGCTTTCTGTTAGTCTGAGCTTCTGCCCATCAAAAATTAAAACCCTACAATATTATCTACAAGGAGTTGAAAATCTATGCCTGTGTGCCTATTATAAAGTGACTATCATCAAAATAAAAGGGTTAACGCATGATTGTTGCCATACCTTGCAACGCCGCGTTGTGAAGATGGATTTTCCAGAACCATCCATTAGAATTAGTTCTTTAGGATGTCCCACGTAATTGTCAACTCGATAAACCAGATTTCCATTAGAATCGATCACTGTGAATCCATTGCAGCTGATAATAAGTGATTTTCTCCAAACTGTTAGTGATTTGCAGGTGCCCTGGATCCTGACCACCCCTGCTGGCAGCAGCTCCTGATGTTGTCCATGATCATCATGGACTGATCTCGAAAACAATTTCGAGAAAAACATCTTTCATGCATCCAATTCCTGACTTTTTAAGAGCCCTTCTTTTGTGAAAGTTCGAGGAGATTAAAGGAGCAGATATTTATAGGAAGTACTAAGATCTTAATATAAAGGCTTGACATGCATGAGTGTCATTCAGCTATTGGGGTTTGAAGCAAAGACGATTCTTTTTTTCCTTTTTTTTTTTTTTTTTT